CTCATGAATGCTGAAGACACCTAAAAGTGGCACTGGCTCTTCTGTCAGAGCTTGTGAGAGCCCACCCATTCCAGCAATTCACTTAGCAGAGGGAACAGGAGGAAATAATGGTAAATGTGGAAGAGGAAGAAAAAGAGAGATGAAGCTGCAAGTAAATGGAGGGAGGGTAAAAAGGGAGGGAGAGAGGGAGGGAGTTAGAAAAAAGGAAGGAAGGAAAGAGGGAAGGAAGAAGGGAGGGAGAGGAGGAGGGAAGGGAAGTGAGGAAGGAAGGGAGGAAGGAAGAAAGGAAGGTTGGTTGAGATGATAAAAATGAGAAAGAAGAAGGAATAAGATTATATGTCTCACTACTGATACCAGTCCTACTTTTTCCCTTTAGGGCATCTATTTTACATGGTAACTCACATCTGATTGTCTTTTTCATGTAACTTATGGAGAGTAAACTTATTTAATCAGATTCTCTCAATGGAAGCTACATAACGCTACTACTACTACTAATAACCCTAAACTTGTAATGCATATCCATTTGCAGGAATTGTTCTAGGTGCTTTGCATGTATTAACTGATTTGATCCCTCTACCAGACCGAATCAGATAGGTTGCAATATTCTTCTGGTTTTACAGATGAGGAAACAAAGTTTAGGGAAGTTAAGTCACTTGTACAAATTACACAGGGAGTCTGGAAGTGAACCCAGGTCTGTCTGATTCAGAATTGGGTCCCTGAAGAGCTATGTTGTGCTCACATACTGCATTCTTGATTCAAATGTTTTCATAAAGTCTCTGGGCACTTTTAAAATTAAATTAAATTATAGATTGTGTTTTTTGGATTTTTTTTGTGGGGTGTTGAGTTGGAGTCTCACTCTGTCACCTAGGCTGGAGTGCAGTGGCACATTCACAACTACTCCCGCATTGACTGGCTGGGCTCTGTCGATCCTTCCACCTCAGTCTTCCAAGTAGCCAGAACTACAGGAGCATGCTACCACGCCCGGCTAATTTTTTATTTATTGTAGAGACAAGGGCTCACCAAGTTGCCTGGGCTGGTCTTGAACCCACAGTCTCAGGCAATCCACTCACCTCAGCCTCCCGAAGTGTTGGGATTACAGGCTGAGTCACCGAGCCCAGCCAAGATTGTGTGTTTTATGGGCAGTTATTTTACTTATTTTATTTTTTTAGAGTTTTTCAGAAGCATAGAAACTGAGAAGCTGGTTCTCATATCTTGATAAAGTTGTAGGCTAGGCATGGTGGCTCATGTCTGTCTATAATCCTAGCACTTTGGGAGGCCAAGCTGGGAGGATCACTTGAGATTAGGAAGTTTTCAAGACCAGCCTGGGCAACATAGTGAGACCTTGTCTCTACAAAAAAAATTAAAAATTAGCCAGATGTGGTGGCACATTCCTGTAGGTCCAGCTACTCTGGAGGGTAAGGCAAGAGGATTTTTTGAGCACAGGAGTTTGGGGCTGCACTGAGCTATGATCATGTCACTGCACTCCAGTGTGGGTGACAGAGTAAGACCTTGTCTCAAAATAATAATAATAATAATAATAATAAAGTTATGAATACCTCCTCTATTCTTCTCCCCTTTTTGCGGGCCACCTGATTCAACTAGCATAGGCATGTGATTGTGCCACTTCCCCTGAGATGAATCATCCAAGAGTAAATTCATTCATTTGAGCATGTTTATCAACATCACTATCAAAAGAAGATAACAGTTTGCCATGCCAGTATGTCCTGACTTTAAAAAGTGCTGCCTGTCATTAACATAACCAATGTCTCACATGAGCTGGGAAAGGAGTACTGAGATTGCTGTGAAATGATATCTTCAAGAATGTTCTATCATGTCTGTGACCTGAGATATGCTTGTGAAAAAGTGAAGAGCTTGGAACTTTTAGGAAAGCTGAGTGTGTGTGTGTGTGTAGGTAATGTGTATGTGTTTCTCTATCCACTCAGGATAGGTTAATTCTGCTACACTCATGTCTCATTCACCATCCCTCAGAAGATGAGCACACTTCTAGAAATTCTCAGAGATAATCCCACACCTTCTGCTGATTGTGAGCTCCAGGAACTCACAAAATTTATTGTGAAAAAGTTAAAATAAAAATTTTTGAGTCAGGGTCTTACCCTGTCACCCAGGCTACAGTGCAGTCCCACAATCATGGCTTACCATAGCTTCCAACTCCTATGCTTAAGCAATCCTCCTGCTTCAGCCTCCCAAGTAGCTGGGTATAAAGGTGCATGCCTCCACATCCACTATGTTGCCCAGGCTGGTCTCAAACTCAAGTGATCCTCCTGCCTCCTCCTCCCAAAGTGCTGGGATTACAGGCATGAAGCACCGTACTTAGCTGTAAAAGTTAAATTTTTAAGCAACATTTACTCAGTGCATGTATGCTCCAAGTAGTGAGCATGGGAATACAGTCCAAGCCTACATATAGCCTGCAAACTAGTATTTTTCTACAGGTTTATATGTGGGTCTCCATGCTGGAGAACATTTGCCTTCCCCTGAAACCAACACAGTGCAGCTGACACTTCCATCAGTCTTCCGGTATAACTTCCGACAGCTAAGCAGAAGAAAACATGACCAAACATCTCACATGCCTTGCCCAGCCCGAGTCAGGCTGAGTTAGAAATAAAAGTTCCAGAAAGAAGGTAATTGATAAAGAAAAGGAGTTACAGTAAGGTCTATCATTATGTAGAAAGACTTTAAACGAAATGGAAAAGCCATCAAGTAAGAGATTAATAAATTTGATTGCAGCAAACTTTTAAGCCTTTACAATGACTGACAACATCTTTAGATTTTGGATTGCTTTTTTTTTGAGTTGGAGTCTCACTCCATCGCCCAGGCTGAAAGTGCAGTGGCACACTCATGGCCACCCCAGCGTCAACCTGCTGGGCTCAGGCGATCCTTCCTCCTCAGCCTTCCAAGTAGCCGGATCTACAGGCGCGAGCTACCACACCTGATTAATTTTTTGTTTATTATAGAGACGAGGTCTCGCCAAGTTGCCAGGGCTGGTCTCGAATCCACAAGCTCAGGCAATCCACTCTCCTTGGCCTCCCAAAGTGCTGGGATTACAGGCTGAGCCACTGAGCCTTACCAACATCTTTAGTTTTAAAGGATAATCAGCAAACTAGAAGATATCCTCCATATAAATAAAAATAATTTTCATCCAGAATAGTCAAAGAATTCCTACAAATGGAGAAAAAGACAAAAGAAAACGGGCAAAGGATAGAAACAGTTGATTCCTTAAATAAGAATTACAAATGGAATTGTACCCCCACATCTTTTAAATAAATAAATAAGAATTACAAATGGTCAGTAAACCTATGAAAATACGCTCAACATGAAAAGAATCTTAATCTTACCAGTGACCAAGAAAACAAGAAGTAAAACAAGATAAACTAGGTATTTTTTCGACCCCCAAAGTGGGGAAATTATGACAGATTGCTACAACCTAATGTCCATCCACTAATGTTAGTGGGCTGGGGCAAGGAGAAATGTCAGATACTGTAACAAGCTGCTGATGGGAGTGTAACTTGATAGATGGAGTCACTTTGATGAGTGAGGATCTAGTAAATTTTCAAATGTACATACACTCCAGCAGTTGTTTTGTTTTTGCTTTTGTTTTTAGTTGGAGTCTCACTGTCACCCAGGCTGGAGTGCTCTCACAGCCACCGCAGCCTCAACCTGCTGGGTTCAGGCAATCCTTCCGCCTCAGCCTTCCAAGTAACGGGAACCACAGGCGCATGCCTCTACACCCAGCTAATTTTTGTTTTTTATTGTAGGGATGAGGTCTCACCAAGTTGCCCAGGCTAGTCAATCCCCCCGGCTCAGACAATCCTCTCACCTCAGCCTCCCAAAATACTGGGATTACAGGCATGAGCCACCACACCCAACATTTCTATAAACCAACATCCACCCTAGAAAAACACACATGTGCACAAGAGAAGGTACATAAAAGATATCCAGTGAGGTATTATGTGTGATAGCAAATTCTGGAAATTACGTAAATAGCTACCAGTTAAGAAATGGCTGGATACTTGACAGTATTTTCATTCAGCAAGATATATACAGTACTCTTAAATATACTATATTAAATATCTTTGAGTGAAAAAATAGCTACAGAGTAAGTACCATGTACTATTTTCAAATATAAATTTGTTTTCTTTTATAAAGAAGTACTATGGGTGTTTTCTATAGATATATTCAGTGGACATGTTTTGCATGTAAACGATAATAGTGGTTACCTTTCAGAAGAGGTGAGGACCAGGATTGGGGTTGGAGAGAGGATCCCTGGGCACATTAGTGCTTTAAAAGAATAAGCATTAAGTGTATCAAGAGATAAAGGACAGTGTGTCCATCCAGCTGTGAAAGTTTCTTAGCAACAAGAGTTTTCAGCACAGGCTCCTACTCAGTCGTGGCTTTTTGAGATGCTGATAAATAAAGTACATTCTTATTTGAAAATTATTGAATAAAGGTTCTTCCTGGTTAACAAATTTTAACAGCCCAGAATTTGTTATATGAGAAAACTGCAAAAAAAATCGATTTGTAGGCAATGAACTTGCAAAAATTTACACCTGTCTTTTGCAACCTAATAAAACACTTAAATATAGCAGCATCTAACAGCAAGTCTTTCTGTGCTAATTCTACATTGTCATGACAACCCTAGCAACAGCTAAGTACTAGATTAGAGTGTCTGCACTGCTGATTCAGAAGATGCAGAAGAGAGGTGCTCTCTGAGTCCCCAGACCTCACTATTGTAATTTATACTGCTAGGAATAAAAGCTGGAAACTAATCTTTTCCAACAATAAAGTTTTAGGAGTCATTAAAATGAGCCAGAAAGCATATTTTTATATTGAAAATTAAAACAAGCCACCCAAGGAAAATAGTATTCTTAGGGAGATGTGTTGTTGTATTGTTTTAATTAGCAAGAAAAATCTCAATTAGCAAGGAAAATCTCAATTTCTATTTCACAGTAAAGAGCAATAAAGAATTTTTTCATCACACATACCCAGCCTCCATTTTGCCTTATCCATTCTCCTGTGTTATTTATTATGAACTCAGCAACAAAATAAGAGATCTCCTTGTAAGTATCCATATCCGGGGCAATTTGCTCTCGTAGAAGTTTCTTGATGAGAATACCTCCGAATGCAAATATGGTCACAATCCTTCCCCAGTTGATGATGCCATCTTCAAATTCCTTTTCCATCACTTGATTAAATATTGTTCTGGCAGTGTCTACAGATACAATATTAAAATTGTCCAAGCATGGTTTCAGATTTTCTTCAACTTCTTTTTGGACTGAGGAGGCAAGGTTCTGTAGCACTCTGGATGTTTTGCTTGGACTCGATGCAGGTTGTGGTATCTGCAGGACAAATTGCAGATAGTCCTGAGCCAGTCTGTGGATATATCCAAACTCACAGTCAGTCATCATCTATCTGGTGGAGAGCAAAGTCTTGAGCTGGGTCACCTGGAAGCTGTTGAGGCAGTTTGATGTGAACACTCACTGAGCTTAGCAGGGTTATGACACATGATGATATATGAAGGTCAGCGGAATTTCTGTTTGCATCATGTTATCGTATCCTTCCTCCCAGTCCCTTTCATGCGTAGGCTGTGTGTGAGAGAGAAAGTTCAAATGTGAAAGAGGAAAATGTTTCTGAGAAGCCACTTCCTCATCCTGTGATTAATTCAGCTTTAAATCTGCAAGGATGTGGAGGATCCTTGTACATGGTTGGTGGGAATGCACAGTGGTGCAACCCTGGTGAAAAGTTTGGTGGTTCCTCAAAAGTTAAATATAGAATTGTCAAAAGACCTAGCAATTCCATTCATAGTTAATTGTCAAAAGACCTAGCAATTCCATTCATAGTTAATTGTCAAAAGACCTAGCAATTCCATTCATGGCTAATTTTTTCATTACTGTAGAGACGCGGTCTCGTCAAGTTGATGGGGCTGGTCTTGAACTTGCAGGCTCAGGCAATCCACTCGCCTCAGCCTCCCAAAGTGCTAGGATTACGGGCTGAGCCACTGAGCCCGGCCTACTCTAGAATTTCTGATAGAAAACAAAGTCCTGCTTGAAGTCTCACTTAACTCGCATTCATAAGTCAGGTAAACTATCCAATGTATGGATCAGAAATTCTGGGACCAGAAAGAACACTGAACTTTGAGTCAGAGGATCTGGACTCAGTCCTAGCCAACTCCCTCTGCCCTTACTCACTATGTGCCCTGGGTCTGTGCTTCATCTGTAAAACAAGACCATCCATCTTGATCTCAAAGGGTTAGGTGAAGTTCAAAGATCTGATGTATGTAAAGCACCTATCATCATGCCTGGTAAAATGCAGGTACTTAATCAATGCTAGTTCCCCATTGTCATTTATGGTCTAAGGAGGAATTTGACTTCCCAGTCATCTCTTTACCTTGCAAGAATATCACTTCATAAGTGCACAGTTTGAAATGAAATTCAAATCTCATTTTATTTCGCTTTGGCAGCAATTCTGAGAAAAGGTTTGCAGTAGGTGGAAGAAAAATGAGACAATTCATGGTCCCTGGAGAAATTGAATTCACTTTTTTTTTCCCATCCACCTATGGAGTGACTTTGATTATTTCCATCAGTGTCTATGAACAGTTGCAAACAGGAAAAAAGATTTATATTTAATGTATTTCTGAACTATCATCATAAGGTTAAGGAGAAAAGGATAGGTGCTGCTTAGGATGCTGTTAATAGGGTGACAGCTGTGAAAACGCACCACTCAGACATGTTGCAAGAATGTAATTGACGATGGGCCCCAGCCCAGGTGTTCTGAATCTACCACAGCTTTGGGCTAAGGCCACACTGCCCACAGGCTGCTCCCAGCCAATGACTGAGCAAGGCAGGACTACCAAGACCCATTCCTGTAAATCAGCCTTCTTCGACTGGTCACTTTGGTTCACTGACCCCTTCAGCTTTGTGGAAACTTCCTTAGAATGCATTGTCATGGCAAACTCACCTTACCCCTTCCCCCTCCCTTCCTTCTCTCCTTCTCAGAGTCAGTACTGCATTGTGGTCTGACAGCTTTGTGGCCTCTTCTTCCTCCCTCCCTATTTTCCCTCACAGGTATTTTCTCCCATAAATCTCTTACACATCTTTGGAGAACCCAGCCTGAGGGGGGACCTGTATAGAGCAAAGGAGCATATAAAAGTGTGGTCAAGCCACTGCTCCAGGATCTCCCCTGGGAAAGTTCTCCCATGCCCTCCAGATGGTAGTTGTTGGCCCACAGGAGCACGAAGTCAGGAGCAGGCTGCTTTTCTCCTCAGACCATTTTCAAGCATCCTAAGAACCCCCATATAATGGGAAGGTTGAGTTTTCTCCCTCATTACATTCCCCTGGTGTTGAGAATTCCCAAAAAATAATAGAAGCAAAAAGGGTACCCAATCTCAAACCAGGCAAAATGGGAACCAAAGGGAGGCCCAAACTTTACCTGTATGATGTCTGCTTGTATACCTAATCCTGAATTGCCCCCCACATCTTTAAAATATATATTTTGAAAATAAATAACTAAAATATATCAGCTTGAGTCAAAGATAATAATAATAATAATAGAAGCATGTGACTTAAGAGTTGCACTTAAGCATTCTGAGGTCAAGTTCTATCTTTTTTCTATCTCCACTCATGCCCAAACTTGAACCCAGGAAAGGCAGGTACAGCAGTTGATCTTTGTTAAATAAATAAAATACACGGCTGGGCATAGTGGCTCAAGCCTGTAATCCCAGCATTTTTGGGGACCAAGGCGGAGGACTGCTTTAGCCCAGGGGTTCGAGACCAGCCTCAGCAATTGGTGAGACCTCGTCTTTACAATAAAATAAAAAAATTAGCCGGACATGGTAGCGCATGCCTGTTGTTCTGGCTACTTGGAAGGCTAAAGTGGAAGGATTGCCTGGGGTTGCCATGAGTGTGCCACTTACTCCAGCCTGAGCGATGGAGTGAAACTCCAACTCAAAAAACTAAATAAAAATAAAATTAAATTAAATTAAATACACATATCACAACTGGGCCAGCCATATTTAGGGCTTTATATTACTGATCTTCTGGATCCCAAAAGGAGTTACTTTAGAAAGTCTTACATGTTGTGGCCTTTTTAGTTTATTTTGGGAAGTTTCCAAATAATCACTTTTCAAGGATAGGTGAGAAAGACAGAGATAAAGTCCTTTCCCCAAAAAAGAAGAATTATTTATTTGTATACAAAGTGCAAAAGAACTGGTATGGGGTGGGGTGGAGGGAAGCATGAGTCAGAGACAAGTCACTGGCCATGAGCCAGGTATGAAGACATAAGGGGCAGCCTTTCTCAATGCCGCTACAGTCTAAGGCTGCATTCACCAGGGTCTAGCACGCAGGCCCATGAAAACCAGCTCATGGTTCCCCATTCTCTGACCTGCTCTGTCAATGCACAGAATTTTGTATGAAATTAAGGGTTCTAGCCTGGGTAACTTGGCAAGATCTCATCTCTACAGTAAATCAAAAAAGAAAATTAGCCAGGCATCATGGTGCACACCTGCGGTTTCAGCTACTTAGAAAGCTGAAGCGGAAGGCCTAAGTCCAGCAGGCCGAGGCTATAGTGACCATGAGCATGCCACTGCACTCCAGCCTGTGCAACAGAGTGAGACTCCTATTCAAAAAAAGAAAGAAAGAAAGAAAGAAAGAAAGAGAGAGAGAAATTAAGGGTCTACCCCAAGTATCCTCTGTGGAAGTCAACCAGAATGGATGGGGTCTGGAAACCATTAGTGTATCCAATTATTCCATAAGCATACATTAAACGGCTACTATGTATCATGGACTGTGTTTGGTGATGACAATAAAAATTCCTGCCCTTAAAAAATTTTTAATCTACAAGGAGCTATACCATATTATAGGCAGTCAAAGAACTGCAGAAGGAAATGTTTAAAAGAGATCTCGGCCATAGCTCCAAATTCAAAGACCCTCCCTGGAATCCTAGGTAAAGCCATGAAACCAGATCTGCAGACCCCGCAACAATTCTGAGGTTCTGGGAAACGCGTGTGACACTGATCTACTGTGGGCTGAAGGGGCAGATATTGGGGTGAGGGATGATGACAGAAGATGGCTTACCAAATCTGCTCACACTTAACAAGTATCTATGACCCAACCAAAGTTTTCTCTATGGTTGTTTTATCCAGAAGTTTCTACTGAAGAAGCAGGACATCCTATCCAGACCTGAGGGAATATTTAGTATTTGTCATGAGAATAATGATAAGAAGAATATGAATCATGCCAATAATCAATTGACAACAGCTTCCATGTGTCAATTGCTTTGGACTCCATGGTTGCAATTATTATACATATATGTGAACTACAACCTCATGCATATTCATTGTGCTTACATGAATTGCCATGTTTATGCACATATGTTCCAAGTATCCATTCCTTTGGTAACAGTCCACTTCCCAAACCTTAGTGGCTGAAAACAATACTTGTGGATTTTGCTCATGAACCTGAAATTGGGCAGGACTCAATAGGGATAATTGATCTCTGCTCCACACTGTCTGGGGCTTGACCAGGATGACGCAAACTGCTGGGGCTCTGCTCTGCTCTGACCAGAGACCAGACAATGGTTGACAGAGGGTGAGTTTTGATAAGGAATGAGAGGAAAGCACTGAAGCCACCCATGCTGATGAGTAGTCAGAAGAACCCACACTCCAGGACAAGGTGCGTGACCTCAGAGAGGAACGACTGAGGCCAACTTCTCCTTTCCCCAAAAGCGGAACAACCTGACATTGGCTGGGCTTTTGGCTGTCTCAGAGGAGACAGCCCAGGGGAGCTCCTCTGAGCTTATCAGGACTGCTTCCCTCTTGTAAGGCCTTAACCAGGGTAAATTCCTGTAGAGGAGAATGATCTTCAATAGTAACACAATCATAACATAAAGGGGAGGGAGAAACAGGCACAAGAAGCTACCTGCATGTCCTCCTGTGATCCCCCTTGGTCCCATGGGGCCAAACCTTGATGGTCACAAAACACAGCAGAGGAAAATTCCCCGCCTCTGTTAAGAAATGCCAGAGACTTCGGTGGGAGCTTGGTTTCTATCTGAAGAGACATTTCCGGGAAACCCCATGAGCCCAACATGCAAGCAGGACATCCCCCCAGTTTTCTCTTGTATGTGGGAGTAAGGTTTTATTTTTATTTTTTGTTTAATTATTTATTTTTGAGTCAGAATCTCACTCTGTTGCCCAGGCTGGAGTGCAGTGGCATGCTCACGGCCACCAGCAGCCTTGACCTACTGGGCTCAGGCAATCCTTCTGCCTCAGCCTTCCAAGTAGCTAGAACCACAGGCATGCGCCACCACGCCCAGCTAAATTTTTGTTTTATTGTAGAGATGAGGTCTCGCCATGTTGCCCAAGCTGATCTTGAACCCCTGGGTTTAGGCAATCTTTTCACCTTGGCCTCCCAAAGTGCTGAGATTACAAGCATGAGCCACTGCACCTGGTGGGAGCAAGGTTTTAGAGGATACTGGAGAGAGCAGCTAGTTGTGAACCAAGGCGCTGAGAGGTAGGGAGCGAAGGAGAGAAGTGTCACTGAGCCTGATGAGTGGGGCAGAATGTTTTTGTTGTTGTTGTTATTGTTTTTGAGTTGGAGTCTCACTCTGTTGCCTAGGCTGGAGTGCAGTGGCATATTCATGCCACTCCAGTGTGGGCCTGCTGGGCTCCGGTGATCCTTCTGCCTCAGCC